CGTCTTTCCTGAATGAACCGAGATATCCTCGCGATGTTGGTTCAGCAGGTATGGGCTGTCTTAATTGGAAACTAATTCGGTGTACTTCCCTTAGCAGATGTTGCTCAGACAGCGGTTGCCAAACGCTTCCAGTTTTTGCTCCTCTTCCATGCGTACAACCCAGCATCCATGACTGTATAGGATGGCTGATCGGACGGATGCCCGGTACACGCGGATCTCTATAGCAATGAAGATGTTGGGTCTGGTTCAGAAACACTTCCGGGGGACTATGAAACTCTGCGGGCAGCATCGATTCTGGAGACGATGTCGCCCTTACTCTATCCATGCGGCAACAGCCTCGCCTATAGGTATTTGAACATGTCTACTTCCTCAAATTGACAACCATTAATGCTGACGGTCGCCCGCTCCTGGTCAAAGATGCAGCTCTTCCCAGCGTCTTTCCAACGTTTATGGATAAAGCAACCGATTGAGAGACTTAATTCTACCGGAACAAGCTAATTAGTTAGTCCCGTGACCTAGTGGGAGAAGAAATTGACCCGTACCTCACATTGGGCGCACTTTGTCTTCAATTTTTTTCGGTGGCCTCGGAGACTTACTGGTTATGCCAATTCAAAAAAATCGGCCAACTGAAGTGCGCAGTCTATCCCTCTACCGAGTTTGAAGAACATGATCATATCCCCTCTGCATTCGCCATCCAGGAGGGAAAATTTTAGGTCTTTATTATCATCCCTCGCAAGGTAGGCACTTTAGTCTGCTGGCTAGTTTGGTCGCCCTTCGTTGAACCTTCTCCAAGAGCGTAGTGTCGCTTTATCCGGGGGACATCACGCATGAACGCGGTATTCTACTGCCGTTCGAATAAGCGCTTCAACTACTTGATCAAGAAAGGTCTTCGTCAAGTTTAGGGAGGGACCTCCCGAGCGCTCCAAGGATACGCACAACTTTATTTGCAATGTCTGCGCAGAGAGTCGAAGGCTTGAGAGTGCGCAACATCCACAAGCGTAGGTCCCGGGCCTCGTTTACTGGCTCGAGTTGGTGACTTCCGATGAAATATTAATGCTTCACTCTCGTAATCTTTTCGTAACTAAAACTGTAGTCGGATAGTCCGAAATTTGTAAAGAAGGAGACACGATCTCTGGGGCAAGAGCTTTTTTCATCTGAAGTTTCGGATTCCTCCTCGAATCCATCGTGAGAGACGATAGCAGATACGTGTGATTCATGAACAAGGGGCTGCAGTATTTATAGGATGCAATCGCAGTGCTGCCACATACCTATGGGACTTCACGGCTCCAGATGCTGTGAGCTTATGGGCGAGATCGGTACCAGTCTGCTCCTGCAGAGGATGACTTAACGAGCCCGCGAAAAAGTATGATACACGAAGCAGCACTGGAGAACAAATTTAGAAAGCTGCCCAATCCAACGTCGCCTAAAAACGACAAACTGGTGCACAATCCGTCGCCAAAGGAGCTGACGAAGGGCCAGGTGCAGATGTTACGGCTGACGCTAAATCTGTTAACATGACTGCTGCAGTTGAGTCAATCCCTTGTCAGGCGGAAGCAACGGAGGAGACTAAGAACCTCATACGGTACCAAGCGTCGTCTTTCCTCATTGCCCACAGGCCGTGGGAAGTGCCCTCCAAGGTCGAATGTGATGCGCTTAGAGAACCTAAGGGCGACAAATACCTAGAAATCGTGCCAGCGGACAGGGGACGCTCCATGGTTGTACTGGACAGGAAAGACTACCTTCAAAAAGCCAAAGGTTTACTGGAGGACCGACAGTTCTATGTCCCATGTGCAACGAACCCTTTAAAGGCGCTGACACGCGAAATTAACACTACGTTGTTGGCCTTGGAGAACTCAGGTGCAATAAAACCGACCGGCAGGCGCATGGCGAGACCCCAAGATACGGCTTTGGCCCGATTCTATGGCCTACCTAAGGTGCACAAAGACGGCGCTCCTCTCCGACCCATCGTGTCGCTCAAAGGTACTCCAACGTACGGGCTGGCTAAGTGG